GTGTGTGTGTGTGTGTGTGTGTGTGTGTGTGTGTGTCAGCAGATCAGTTGAGGGTGAAGTGTCCAGACCTGTCCAAACACACAGCTCTCTTGCACAACCCCTCTGTGGACATGCAAACAGCTGATAAGATTTGTGTAAACCCTCAACAGAGGTGGAATTCACCCCGTGTTTGACCACATCTTTGATGACTAACACTAACACTCTGGTGTTTCCCTTCAAAATCCCAGACTCACGAGATGTAAAGAGGCCCAGGGTTGCGTTTTTGAATAATGAAATTAATCTGTGACCCATTTTTAATCAATAAAGCTGGGTTAATCCTTTCTCGTAGTCGGGAGCTGCTGTTGCTACAGGCCAGACACACTTCCCCTCAGATTAGGTATAGGCCTCACCTCTCACCCACATGGAAATGTTGTGTTGTATCTCAGCCTTCTCGGAAATGCATGACAGGAATGGATTTCATTATGAATTCTTCCCAGCTGAAGCAAGAACAGGAAAAGAAAGCTAATGATAGAGGCTGCACATGTTCATGCTCTCACATCTGGAGAACACACTAGTTCCTTCACTGTGATTTTTGGGAAAGTTTGGTTGTGCAACACGTGGACTGGATCTCCATTTTTGTAATCGCTCGGTGGTTGGACTTTGGGTTCAAACCAGCTGCAGTGTCCTCTGTGTGTGTGAGTGTGTTTTGTGTATGTGTGTGTCTGTGTGTAAACAGCCCATTTTCCCATCCATCAATGCCTGAGCAGTGAATAGCACAGCAGTCAGGCGTGAGTGAGGCGTATGTTGTGTGTGTGTGTCGTGGGTGCGATGGGCGGGGACAGTCCCACAGCCAGCTGTTGCAAGTCTCTGGCCTGGAATTCCTCAGCGATGTTGGAGTTTGAATGATGAACTTTCTCTCCTGCTAGGATCAGCATGGAACATTTTCACAATCAATTTACACATTCTGATTCCACACGATCTTAACAAGCAACTTAAAGTTTGATTTCTTGGCCTTTTTCTAGATTTTTCTTCAAGAGGAAATGAAAATAAATGCGTCAGCAGATAGAAATTCATTTCCAGGCTCGGTAACACAACGAGCAAAAGCAAAACAAGCAGCTCCGATTTCAAATTCCTTCACCCCGACACTGTGTGTGTATTGTGAAATTGGAAAGTGGAAGAAATGAGAATCGTCCAGAGTGAGAATTATGTTTTATTGCGCTGTGTTGGCAGGCCGCCTGCAGCCATTTTTCTTTTTTCTCTTTCTGCTTCATAAAGCAGCGATGGTGGTGGATGGGGGGGGGGCTGTGGTTCCTATTAGATCAGTGGGACTGAGATGGAGCCAAGTCCCCCCACACCCACCTTCAATCCTAACCCCCCACACACACAACGACTGATTGACACAGCTTTCAGCATGACCAGTCCCTTTGTAGAGACAACCATCGACCTTATCTCCGGAGGTGTGCTGGAGAGGTGTGTGTGTGTGACCCCAGCATGCACTCGGACAAAGACCAGGATGCAGCCATGAAGACAAACACTCGGCTGCCATCCCCCTCCTGTACTGACACACACCTACAGACACTGTGGTGGTCTTTGTTCTGCAGTGACGAGTGGCCTAATGAGCAGCCTCGTGCGTGTGTGGTTTGAAAGGGAGGGTGATGAGAGTAATTCAGGTCATTAAGGTAAATGCCTGCCAGTTGTGTTCCTCTCCATTTGGTCCCCCTACCCCACCCTGCTTGGCTCTGCTTCCCAGCCCTCAGGGTGGGATACACCGGGGTCGAGGCCGCATCCTTTGATGCTTCACACTTCATTCGCCCGCACAGGAAGGGGGTTTGCGTTGTCCGCCCGCCTGCCTGCCTGCCTGCACGTCTGAATGAGCAACAGAGGTGTTTGTGTTTGAGAGTCAAACAGGAGGGTAGGGAGACGGCTAAGGTAAACAGAACAATCCCTGTGGCTCAGCGCCTGGAGCCTGAGGCCTCTTCCACAGTAGAAATTAAGAAAAATGCACCTCAGAGCACTTTTTTAAGAAGTTAGAACAGGCAGACTATTGTAATTTTTTTGTATTTAATTTAAAAAATGTTAGAAAATAACAAAGAAATACATGTCACTACTTCCTTTAGTTTACACTAATGTCTTTAAACTACTTGTCCTACATTCAAAATAGCCAAAACCCAAATTTAATGCTGTAAAACAGAGCATAAATAGCACAGTGTTTATGAAGCTGTAACTATAACCAGTTCTAATACCTCTTATTTTTAAAATTATTCGATAAACTGGCATGAATTGATTTTGATTTGGAGCTGTTCACTGACTAATTGCTAACTTTGTTGGCTGTTTTTGTGCCATTTGTTGCGTTTATGACCATTGTCATCAGCTGCAGGTCTTAAAACCCCCAAACAACGAGCTAAAAGACACCAAAACACTCGGTAAAGCTGAGAGGAAGTGCAGAGTTGGTTGACCATTCTACGTGTTTGTCACTAAAATATATAATGTGACTATATTATAATATCATTGTTATAAATATTGAATGGAGCAAGTGACAAACCACCATGACTCCACCCATTAGTTTGTTAACTAGGGCTGTGAAGCCTCTAGTGTGGCATTTTTATTGAAACCATAATTTGGAAGAGTGTGGGAGCTCGAGGATATAAAGTCTATGGATTAGTGAAGCTTTAAAATAGCGGTTGTAGATAGGGTGAAACAGGTTTTGTACTTGGCCGTGGAAATGTTCAAACTGCAAATTCTGCTGGAAATGTTCTCTTCCTTCAGAAATCATCAGTCATGGATGTTGTTGTTCCAAAGCCAGAACAAGTGAGAGCTTTAATGAAATCTCAATCACAGGATCTCAGGCATTTTCACATCAATTGCTCCCAAAGAGACGCGTGTGTTAGACCCCATGGATCTCATTTGATGATATTTAGCTCAGGGAACCTCATGGGATTTTTTTTATTACCTCTGCAAACTAAAAGACGACCTACTTTGAAAAGAGGAATCAGATAAAAGAGCTTTAAAGGAGGATGAACGCCCAGATCGTTTCCCAGTGTTGTCTCCAGAGCGTGTGGCATGTTCTGCTTCGTTATGAGGCTTTGTCAAGCTCCTCTGCTGCTCACACACTGTTCCCCCTTCATTCCTGTGTCGGCGGCCATTGTTGCGTTGGATCACATTTCTGGGCTCTGCGAAGTGGAGCCGCATGTCTGGCATTCCTCAGACTAAAGGTTTCTACTTCCTCCTCCACAAAGACCCCTATTGTACGCAGCAGGCCCCAGATCCTCGGTGGAGTGAAAGAGAAGCGGCGTGGCTCGCTAAAGCCCCCTACCTCGTTTCCAAGGGAAAATTGAATCACGGTGGAGCTGACATGTGGTGATACAGTGTGCATGCTGAAGGACAGAGGAATCCTGGGACGGATTAATGGGCTTCCTGTCTGCTAATGTCATGGAAACTGTGTGATGTTGCGTATTTAAAATCCAGCCAGTCCTTCGAGCAGAAGCATGTGACTCCTGACTTTCACCTGCTCGTCCTGTTTGGACGTGTTAAACTTCATTCATGGAGTCGTCCTTGACTTACTTTGTTGTTAATGTGGCGTTTGGTGGCAGTGACACCTCCACAGCTTGTTTGGGTGAATCTTTGCTGCATTTCAGGTCAATTCAAGGTGTTGGGAATTATTGCACCACGTTTTACTTCATTAAACTGATGACAAAACTGTTGTGTTTGCCGCAGAAGGTGGAATGATAGATGTTTTTCTATCTGCACACAACAAGTCTTCATTAGACTGTATCCTGTTCTTCATATCGTCCTATCCATAGACCGCAAATAAAGATGGATAAAAATAAAGTGTCTTGATCGCCACCTGGTAGGTTATAAATCTTGCCTCTTCTATGTTGGGCTCAGAACGTGCAATGTGGCAGCTTTTGGACACGTCGTCCATCTCTAAATACAGTCTGTGGTCATATCACACCACCCTGAGCATAGACAGTTACCACAGCAACAACAGATGATAACAGTTCTTATTATTTCAGTTTGAACCAGCTCTGTTTGTGTTATATATATATTGAAGCTCCGTGGACGTGCCTGTCGCCCTGTGTTGTTTCCACAGGTGTCCCTGAAGGGCTTAACGCCTCTCCACACACACACACACACACACACANACACACACACACACACACACACACACACACATGCACTCACTGCCCCTCAGCTCAGCTATGTTAACTATGCAGTAAATCAGCCTGCAGACCTGTTGCCATACCTCCAGACTGTCAGCTGCAGCTGGCGTACCTCAGGACCGCATGTGTCGGTGTGAGATGAAGTACAGTTTCATGTCAGGGGGCCATTAAAACATGAAGGATTTGTGCAGAAAGTGGGATGTCTCAAACATCGTGGAAAACTTAAGAACTATATTGCTCAACGGCAACTGCAGGGAATTTCATGTTTTCTTTCTTTTCAGTGGAAGTCAAGAAACATCTGGGAATTTGTCACATGGCATGAATAGAGCAGAATGTGTTTTTCAACATGTTTCATGTATATTTATTCCATTAAGGGCTGCGTCTCATCCCAGCTGTTGTGGAAACCAGCCTGAAAAAGGACATTAACAAACCAGGAAGGAAAGTTTTCTTCTTTTACATCTTGGCAGAGCTTCGTATTTGATTCTCTCGTCATTCAGTTGCTGTGAGCACCACACGAGCAGGGACTACATTTAAGAGAAGGGCAAGAGGCCTGGAGAGTGTGTGTCGGGGTGCGTTTAAAGGACAGAGAGGGAGGACAGGGTGTGTGTCGTCTTTCCAGATTTAGAGATCCTGTGGGAGAACAATGACGGGAGCTAATTAGATGACAGTCACCAGGTCTTTGTGTGTGTGGGGGTGTTAGCACTGGGATTTCCTCTTATCTTTCCAGTCGGCAGGAAGGCAGCCTCAAAGCAGCGTTTCTGACGCAGGGTTAATGCAGTTATAAACAGGAGACAAGAAGGAAAATGTCGACTATTAAAAATATCTGTGCACTCTCCTCAATTTGCATTATTTTCCTGTTTATGTTGTGCAGCTTGACATGTTTTGCATAGATGCAATGAGAGGATTTGTGGTTATAAATACTTAAATCTCCAGGTAGATTCACAGGAATACTTCCGACTCAGAGACATATCAACAACAAGACCTCACATGCTGCACCCAGCACACACAGATGTATGCGTTTCATCTCATTGGGTTGATTAATAACAATCAAGTCATTGTAAAAATGTCACCAGGATCTTATTTTCCCTGTGATTGGTTCCAGGCAGCAAGGACTGAAAAAAAAAACTTCAAACATTGCAATATGGCTGTGATTGGTTGAGAGACGGCCATAAAAAATAAATTCTTGCAGGGGGGTGATCCAACATTCCAGCTCGCCTTGTGCTGCGTCGATGATAGCTGCTCAGTGTGGAGCCGTGAGGTTTAGGTGGTGTCACCTATCCGGGAGTTTTCAAAGGGGTTCTCGAGGAGAGAGTGGAAAAGCTGCTGGGAAATGGCGAGCCCGTGCGTTCCCATGTGAAATGCATTATCTTTACATCAAGACATCATGATAATCTATTCTGTGTAGCTCCTGGCGTCCATACTTAACTGACTCACAGTTTTTTTAAATGGTCATTAGCTGAAAAGAGCCTGTGTGTATCAACAACTGGGAACGTGGCACGGAACAAAGCTGACTTAGCTCGGGCAGACTGGAAATCAGTTAACAGATCTGTCATAATAACCATAAGTAGGCAACTACACAATAATTACCATTAAATATCCACTTTGGATATCAATTCTACTTTGAATGTAATTAACAGAAATATGAAGATGTGACTATATTTCACAGGAACCTAAATCCAGATGTACGAAATTCTCTCAAAGCTAAAACTGAAGCACCCTAATACAATAGTCCTGCAGTAAATCCTCCCTTCATAAAGGTGGTTTGAAACTATTGATTTATCTCATATCATCTTTACGTTATTAGGTTCTGTTTTGCATTGTGTATTGTGAAGCAGTGACCTCACAGACAATCCTGGCTCACACACGTGGAACATGTGATGATGCACGTAGATTGGGTTCAGATGTTTTTATGCAGGAGTGGTACATACACACACACACGCATGAGCTCGCGTCGCGCTTTGTTGTGCGAGGCCCAGGCCTGGAAGGAAGCGTGGATCGTGTAAACGGTGTCGTCTCCCATCCAGACTGTTTAGATTAGGAACATTCGAACTCTGTGTGTGTGTGTGTGTGTGTGTGTGTGTGTGTG